GGTAATAACTTGTGTAATTTATATTGTATATTTGTTATACAGGTACTTCATGATTTTCGTGCCATTTACAGGTATTGACAATCATAAAAAGTGTGTCACTTTTGCAGTTGGGCTGCTTTCTAGTGAATCAATAGAATCGTATAAATGGTTGTTAATGGCTTTTAAAACGACTTTTGGACGAGAACCAACTGTGTTGATGACAGATCAAGACGCAGCCATCAAGCAAGCGATTCCAGCAGTTTTCTCACCATCTTGTAGGCATCGATTGTGTATGTGGCACATATCACAAAAGTTCACCGACAAGGTAAACAATATACCCTCAAAATAGTATGTATATATGGGAATATTTAGTTAGTGTAACTGAATCGACACTTAAAATTAGTATTAAAAGCGTATAGGCATTGAAGAATATTAAGTTAGTGAAACCGAATCACGTTTTGCATGAAGCACTTTAGTTCTAGTACTAAATTCAGTTGGAACCACAAGTAGCTTGGAAGTGAATCACCTAAGAACTGAATCACCTGTTACCAAAAGAAATTTAGATGAAGCATCACGTAAAATCGTATGTATGTATAGAAATATTAAGGTATTCATGACTGAATCATGTTTTGCATGAAGCAATTAAGTGTTGGAACTTGAATCACTGGGCAAAACTCAATTCAGTTGGAATCACATTTTGCTTAGAACTGTTAGTTAGTATATTCAAATGAAATGGTTCAATTTTAACTATTGAAGCACCTATTACCAAACAAGATTTGTTGAAGCATCAGTTAATATTGTATGCACGTATAGGAATATTAAGTTAGAGTGACTGAATCATGTTTTGCATGAAGCACATAAGTGCCAGTACTTGAATCACTTGGCATAACTCATTTAAGTATGGGATCACATTGTACTTGGAAGTGTAGGTTAGTATATATGAATGAAAAGATTAAGTTTTTGCATTGAAGCACCTGTTACCAAATAAACTTTGTTGAAGCATCGGATAATATCGTATGTAAGTTAGTGTGACTGAGTCATGTTTTGGCTGATGCGCTTAAGTGCTAGTACTTGAATCACTAGGCATAACTCAATTCTGTTATAATCACATTCTGCTTGGAACTCAACTCTATTGAAGCACCTTTGACCAAACAAATTTAGTTGAAGCATCACTTAAAATCGTATCTATACATAGGAATAGTAAGGTAGTGTAATTGAATGATGTGTTACATGAAGCACATAAGTGTCGGTACTTGAATCACTAGCTAGAAATCTATTCATATGGAATCATAATTTGATTGGAAGTGTAAGTTAGTATGTAAAAATGAAATGATTCTATTTTTTTTTTTTTTCTGTTGAAGCGCCTTGGACCAAAAAAGTACTTAGTTGAAGCGTCATGTATAATCATATATAAATATAGGAATATTAAGGTAGGTGTGACTGAATCATGTTTTGCATGAAGCACTTAAGTGTCAGTACTTGAATCATTAGGCATAACTCAATTCAGTTGGGATCACATTGCACTTGGAAGTGTAAGTTAGTATATATAAATGAAGTGGGTCAATTTTTTCTATTGAAGCACCTGTTGCCAAAAAATACTTAGTTGAAACATCACTTAAAATCATATGTAGATATGGGAATATTAATGTAGATGTAACTGAATATATAAATGAGATGATTCAATTTTTTCTATTGAAACAGCTGTTATCAAACAAACTTAGTTCAAGCATCACTTACAATCATATGTATTTGGAAGTGTAAGTGCTGGTTACTTGAATCACTAGACATAAGTCAATTTAGTTGGAATGACATTGTATTTGGAAGTGTAAGTTGGTACTTATAAATGAAATGATTCATTTTTTGTCAGAAAAACTAATGATGATTGCCCATTGCTTTTTCAGTTGGGTTCCCATATGTCAAAGACGGGAGTTTTGCAACGATTAAACAATGTTATATGGAATGAACGAATCAATACAAGCGAGTTTGAAATAGAATGGCAAAGGATAATGGATGAGTATGAGTTAAATGATAACAAATGGTTTAAAGATATGTTTGCAATTCGTGATAAATGGATTCCTGCCTATTTCAAGGATTGCCACTTGTCAGGGTTAATGCGAACGACATCAAGATGTGAAGGTGAAAATTATTTCTATGGGTTGATGACAAATACAGATTTGCATTTAATTGAGTTTCTCGGTCATTTTGAAACGGCAATGGAAGCACAACGTTGTGTTCAACGTAAAAATAATCATGACTCCCGCTACACGAATCCTGATATTAAAACAAACTTGTTGATTGAAGAGGAGGCATCTGAGACCTTTACACGAACTGTTTTCTTTGAAATCCAAAAGGCACGAACTGTTTTCTGTTATAATCACATTCTGCTTGGAACTCAACTCTATTGAAGCACCTTTGACCAAACAAATTTAGTTGAAGCATCACTTAAAATCGTATCTATACATAGGAATAGTAAGGTAGTGTAATTGAATGATGTGTTACATGAAGCACATAAGTGTCGGTACTTGAATCACTAGCTAGAAATCTATTCATATGGAATCATAATTTGATTGGAAGTGTAAGTTAGTATGTAAAAATGAAATGATTCTATTTTTTTTTTTTTTTTCTGTTGAAGCGCCTTGGACCAAAAAAGTACTTAGTTGAAGCGTCATGTATAATCATATATAAATATAGGAATATTAAGGTAGGTGTGACTGAATCATGTTTTGCATGAAGCACTTAAGTGTCAGTACTTGAATCATTAGGCATAACTCAATTCAGTTGGGATCACATTGCACTTGGAAGTGTAAGTTAGTATATATAAATGAAGTGGGTCAATTTTTTCTATTGAAGCACCTGTTGCCAAAAAATACTTAGTTGAAACATCACTTAAAATCATATGTAGATATGGGAATATTAATGTAGATGTAACTGAATATATAAATGAGATGATTCAATTTTTTCTATTGAAACAGCTGTTATCAAACAAACTTAGTTCAAGCATCACTTACAATCATATGTATTTGGAAGTGTAAGTGCTGGTTACTTGAATCACTAGACATAAGTCAATTTAGTTGGAATGACATTGTATTTGGAAGTGTAAGTTGGTACTTATAAATGAAATGATTCATTTTTTGTCAGAAAAACTAATGATGATTGCCCATTGCTTTTTCAGTTGGGTTCCCATATGTCAAAGACGGGAGTTTTGCAACGATTAAACAATGTTATATGGAATGAACGAATCAATACAAGCGAGTTTGAAATAGAATGGCAAAGGATAATGGATGAGTATGAGTTAAATGATAACAAATGGTTTAAAGATATGTTTGCAATTCGTGATAAATGGATTCCTGCCTATTTCAAGGATTGCCACTTGTCAGGGTTAATGCGAACGACATCAAGATGTGAAGGTGAAAATTATTTCTATGGGTTGATGACAAATACAAATTTGCATTTAATTGAGTTTCTCGGTCATTTTGAAACGGCAATGGAAGCACAACGTTGTGTTCAACGTAAAAATAATCATGACTCCCGCTACACGAATCCTAATATTAAAACAAACTTGTTGATTGAAGAGGAGGCATCTGAGACCTTTACACGAACTGTTTTCTTTGAAATCCAAAAGGAGATAATGGCATCCATGCTTACATGTTACTCAATTAAAGTCGAAGAATATGACGGAATTAATAAATTCAGCATCAAAGATACTGATAAAGACGTTAAGCATTTTGGTGTTTTTGAGGTATGTAAATTGTACTTGGTTGTATCTAGAAACTTTTTTAAAGAAAACGAATTTTAATACTTTGTTATACTGACAGGTTTCATTCATGAAATCTGATTGCACAGTTACTTGCTCTTGTTTACGCTTTGAATTAACCGGGTGCCTATGTAGACACTGCTTTTATGTATTAAGGATGTCAGGAGTAGAACATTTCCCTAGAAAATATGTTTCAAGAAGATGGACAAAGGATGTGGTATCGACGCCATCAAGTGGGTATAATATGTGTCAGTCTGTTAAAGATGATGCAAATGATGATTTTAAATCAATGATCCGGGACATATACTATTCTGTTGACTATTGTGTTGATCGGCTAGTTTCTGATATGGAAAAGTTGAAGTTGTATCGAGAGAAACTAAGGGAGATGACGCAAGAAGTTGATGAAGATACAAGAAGTGTACAACCCATGACGAACAAGGGCTTCATTGAAGCGGTGTTTGGTGTCGAGAAGCGAGATGAAGTAAATGTTAAAATTCCAGAAGGAATTAGAAACAAAGGTAGTGGGCCGGTTAAGAAAAGGATGATAGGAGAAAAAGAGATGGCGATTTTGAAGGCTAAAAAGGGTTCGAGAAAATGTGGACGATGCGGGGAGTATGTTGATCATAATGCTCGCACTTGCAAGAAAAAAGCAAATGACTATGCTTCTAAATAGTTTGGTTTATTTTTTCTTCTTAATTATTAAGTATTCAAGATAGCAATGTTACTTTACGAGTTAACGTGAGTCTTTGAGTTTAAAATTTAGAAGCATTTTATTTTTAATGCAGAGACTTAGAGGATTTTTATTTTTAAGATATTAGTATCTATGTGTGAATCAAATGTTGTGGTCGCTGGAACGCATACATGATAAGTGATAAATGTTGTGTGAATCAAATTTTATTTTTAATTTTATGTTTTTAATGCAGGTGAGTCATACGTAGATCTAGATTGCAGAATGTGATTGGAAGGTGTAATTGCCATAAAATATGAAATCAGTTTTAACTGTCATGATGGCTTAAAGTTAGTGATAAGAAGAATTCCTTCAATTAAATTTTTGTTATTTGTTTTCCATGGGAGTGTAAGTGTCATGAATAGTGTAATGTAAGTGTCCTGAATAGTCAAATGTAAGTGTGATGAATAATCAAAAGTTGCATTTAATAACAATATTGTTGTAACTTTGTTTCAAAATTGATAGTAAAAAAATGTGTAAATGGTATTAAAAAGGTAAATTGTAGTAAATATCAAACACAAATAATAAATTAATAAAAAATATTGTAATTGAAGATTGGTCACTTAAAATTAGATGAGACAAACGTAAATAATATTATTGTCAAACCAAACAACAAAACAAAAGTAAAAATAGTGTAAGACATGGTTCAAAGCTTAATGTAAATCTAATAAAACAAACTGATTCTGCGCTCAATGCGTTGGAGATGTTCTTCAGTGTTCAAGTTTTCCTTCTCCGCATCAGATAACTTATCGTATGATGCTAACTTTCTGTTGAGAGATGGTTTGATAATGTTCAAATCTGATGTCAAAATTTTTGTAACATACTTCTTTCTCAATTCATTTAGTTGTATTTGTTGGTCATCACTGTCTGCGAATTCAGGCTCCAAACCCACAATCCATTTATTCGGATCCCCACCTTTATATGTTTCCATGTGTTTCATAAGGAATAACCCACAATCTATGTAGTTTTCCTTTGTCATCCATTCCATAGACGATCGAACTATGATTGCACTCTTCATTGAATTTCTTCTTGGATGATTCCAAGCATCAATGTACAGAGTAAACAATATTTTCTGGAATAAATATGATATGTGATCAGAATATAGTATATGATCCTGGTTAAATTAAATATATATGAAATTTTGTTACCAGATCGTTAGGCACGTTTCCATAAAGCACTTCAATCGACTCTTCACGGTAAATGTTGTCTATGATTACACATTCGGATTTTATGAAATCAAAGACAATAAGGTAGTAATGTTCATTGTCAAGCACGGGGAAGAATACCTGATGTACATAATAAAATTGGTTGAACATAGTTTTGTGTGAAACAAGTTAGTTAATGTAAATTGATTGAATAAATGAAAAGGACTTACAAGGTCCACATCTTTGAAGCTTGTGCATTGTTTGAATTTTTCGATATGCTCATTCATGCGATCAACAAACCTTTTGTATCGCTGCTCAATACAAATCGCCTCATCCAGTATGAAGTTGCTCTGGAATTAAAATATGTAGATTATTGGATCATTTAAAATAAGCATACGACATAAAAATTAATTTTACCAGAAGTGTGCAGGATAAAAACATCCTTGATGGTGACTTCTTATTTCTGCGTAGTTCCTGATGGTTTAGAAGAGTAGCCCAAATGTCTAATATTGTTACATGGATTTTGGATCCAGGAATCATACTCTCAAAAATTCCCCTATGTCCGCTATCTCCAAAAGTTGATTCAAATACAAGATCCCTAAATTACAATTAGTTTTCATCAATAAGTATATAGTTACTGTGATTCTTTATTTACTGTAGAATAGATATATTGATTTAGAAATGTACCATTCCTCGTCCAGCCCTGCGAAAATCCAACCGGACACTCTGTCCTCGATTGGTCTAAGAACTTTGTTTGGATCAACGACCCTATTAAAATAAGGTGATCTAATTTTCTCGGTTAGTTGCACCAATCTTCTTGTCCGTCTTGGTGCCACAACAGTGACAGGACTAACCACCAATCTTGATGTCCGTCTTGGTGCCACAATAGTAACAGGAACCGCGTTTACATCATCAATTTTGATATTTGGTTCGACATGATCCGATGGAGTTGAAAGCCTTGTAGAGGTCGCAAATGCCGATTCTAACATCATGTCAAAAGCATCTGCATTAAGAATTTGTGTAAAAGGTGTACACACAACATCAATAAGTGGCTCATCTGCCATTTGAGCTTCCGTAAACTGATCAACTTTAGTTTCAGCTGTATTATCTCGGACTGGCATAACAGGTGTCGCGGCTCCATTGAAAAATGTCCCAGCATGAGAGTCAACAGATGTTGAAAAATCTGGCCAAGCCAGATTGAATTCGTGATGCCTTTTAGTTACTAACATGCGCAGTTCGACAGAATCTGGAAACTTCTTTACACCTTGCATCAACAACTTCTGTATAGCTCGCATTGCATTGTCGCATGCATTGAATTCGATGTTAATTTCGCTCATAATATCCTGGAAAGAAGCATGGCATAAGTAGAATGCTATAAAAGTGATAGCAGGAAATGGTAAAACAAATATGCTGAAATACTAATTTTCGATTTGGTTTTATGTTGAATTAGTAAAAGCACAAAAGTCACACATATCCCGATAAGGTCACATATACTAAAGTTCTTTAATAATAGTAAACAAATAATGGTTTTACATGGTATAACGTGTGTAAAAGAACTAGCACATGGAACACATTTAGTGAATCAGTTTACTAAATAAAGCACTAAAATCACGAATTTTACCATGATTAACATTAGTAATAAACAAAATGGCATCATAAATTTGTTAAAATGTATAGTTTCATTACCTTCAAGTTGTTATCTGCATCATTTTCACTTTGTGATGTTTCTTGAACTACATGTTCAATAAAACCAGCAGGAGATTTACAATCTCTTTCAGATCCAGCAGCATCATCGTCCTCGCCATCTTCTGTTTTGGAATTTCCGTATGTGAATTAAAGATTTGTATAATTTATATGCTTAATACTATTCAAATAGTTTGAAAATGCTATAATATACCTTGTTTAGTGTGGTTCATGCTCATGTGTTGTGATGATATGATTACATTTCCGAAACCTCCTTTAGACAACTCTTCTAACTCCCTCTTATCTAACATGTCTGTTGTCCAATACATCATTCCAGTAGTTGGACTTTGAAATGTGGCATCCTCAACTTTTGTGCAACTAAGGTAAAACAACTAAAAAGAATATGTTATTGAAGAAAATATACATATATAAGCATCTTTAAGCATGTTTTGATATATTTCAGAAAATGTGTTTACCAAAAGAAATACAATGGGACCACTGTAAACGCACTTATCGTCCAATCTTCTCCACATCATACGACTTGATTTCAGACATGCTACAACAAATCCGCACCAGTCTAATTGTTTGATATCCATATCATCTGGAATATTCTCCAAGAATCCTTGATTGACAGTCCCCATCGTTGGATACTCAATCATCACAGATACAAACAACACAAGAAAATTCATAATAAAAAAAGGACCAACATTTGTGTCCTTTTGTATCATGTCTACAACGTGTGTTAGTCGTATTCGTTTGACTGATTTTGGAAATTGGGATTTCCAAAGTTTGACAAACTTGTTTCTAGAGTTTGCTCTACAAGGGTTAGACATTGGCATGTCACCCATTGGAATCCCATATATATCATGTACCGTCTCCCTTGTCACAACAAGTCTCTTGTCCTTTACACGAATCGAATTGGTATTTGGGTCATAGTTGTCGACAACCCAATAACATATCCTACGCGGCAGTTTTTCTAATTGTATATTTAAAGCGGATCCAAAACCAATAGACTCTACACACTTTCTTTGATCATTGTTCAGCAATGCCATGGTTTTGGTAATGTGTTCCGGAGGGAACCTGGTGTTCAAATATCTTAAGGAATCTTCCACTTTTCCTGGATTTGCCATTCTAGTTTGCTTTTTCACGATCTTTTGTAACGGAATTGTAACAGGTTGCGGGTTTACAAAATCATCATCATCATCATCATCATCATCATTTGGACGCTTTCGAGAATAAAAATCTGATGTAAACTTTGTCCTGCTTTTTTCTGAAAAACCATCCTCATATACATATTATTAACACATAAAAATAAATATAATAAAACATTAAATAATGATTTATGATCATTTCTTTATACTTGATTTTGATATATTGGATTCCATTTCATTGTTGATGGAAATGTCTTTGTTGTTAATGACTGTAGTGTGTTCGCTCTGTTTCCCTGTTGATTGAGATAGAATAAAAATTATCAAAAATAATTAACAATAATACAAAGACTTAAACAGAAGCATATTTATTAGGATTCATTTGACAAAAAAGTACTGGTAACACCTGAATATTTCTACTAACATAATTATTTTGTTACGTAGTTTTTGTCACTACTCTAAAGTTGCCACCATAAACAGTAACAACACTTGAAGCACTAAAACAACTAATATCATTAAGAACAAAAGGTGTAAAACTTGAATAAATAATGTCAGTTCCAGAGTAAAAACACACCAACAACATTTTGTCAATCACTACTGTCCTGAATCACCATAAATGAAAACCAAGAAGATTATCAAAAATTACTTACTTTGTGAGTCTGGATGAGGTTCGATACACTTACAGACTCCATAAGTCCAAAATTTCTAACTCCAGAGCAAAACACAGATGAAATTATGGCTGATTGCTAAATTTTGGCATGAACCCTCCGACTAGAAACTCTTTATGTAGCTTATCAAGCCAATGAATCTTTATAGAACCATTATACCAGAAAAATCCGTAGTAGAATATCTTGAATTTAATCATATCCAATCTCCAATTAAAAAACCATCGATTCTTCTTTATCAATTTCCATCCCGAAATTATGAAGCTCGTTATGGACCCTTACAGCAGAAGTTAAAGCTCTTAGCACATAAACAATAATTTGATTATACCCAATATCTTGAGTTTAATCATATCCAATCGGCAATTAAAAACCATCGATTATTGTTTCTCAATTTCCATCCTGAAGGGTTTTTTTTGGGCGAAAATTATGGCCGGGAAGAGATGCATCCAATGCGTGGTTGATATCCTAAATAATTGATGAAGCTCGTTATGAACCCTTCAAGCAGAAATTGAAATAACGTTGAATTTGATTACATCGAAATATCTTGTAAAATACGATTGCCTTTTCAAAATCAATCTCTAATCTGATGGCTTCTTTTGGGCGCGGAAATTAGGGCAAGGAATAAATGAAGAGGTGTGATATAAATGGGATACGAGATATGAACTTTATTAAATGACATATATATTTGTAACGTATTTATCTTCTTTCATCTTTTAAATTAATAATAATTGCCATATATACGTTATAACAATTGAATCTAATATTTTTAAGGAACCACATACCTTCTCACCCTTCGCACATAAACTTCCTTCGTACTTGATCTCTTCGTACTTGATCTCTTAAGATATTTGAACACCAGGTTCCCTCCGGAACACATTACCAAAACCATGGCATTGCTGAACAATGATCAAAGAAAGTGTGTAGAGTCTATTGGTTTTGGATCCGCTTTAAATATACAATTAGAAAAACTGCCGCGTAGGATATGTTATTGGGTTGTCGACAACTATGACCCAAATACCAATTCGATTCGTGTAAAGGACAAGAGACTTGTTGTGACAAGGGAGACGGTACATGATATATATGGATTCCAATGGGTGACATGCCAATGTCTAACCCTTGTAGAGCAAACTCTAGAAACAAGTTTGTCAAACTTTGGAAATCCCAATTTCCAAAATCAGTCAAACGAATACGACTAACACACGTTGTAGACATGATACAAAAGGACACAAATGTTGGTCCTTTTTTTATTATGAATTTTCTTGTGTTGTTTGTATCTGTGATGATTGAGTATCCAACGATGGGGACTGTCAATCAAGGATTCTTGGAGAATATTCCAGATGATATGGATATCAAACAATTAGACTGGTGCGGATTTGTTGTAGCATGTCTGAAATCAAGTCGTATGATGTGGAGAAGATTGGACGATAAGTGCGTTTACAGTGGTCCCATTGTATTTCTTTTGGTAAACACATTTTCTGAAATATATCAAAACATGCTTAAAGATGCTTATATATGTATATTTTCTTCAATAACATATTCTTTTTAGTTGTTTTACCTTAGTTGCACAAAAGTTGAGGATGCCACATTTCAAAGTCCAACTACTGGAATGATGTATTGGACAACAGACATGTTAGATAAGAGGGAGTTAGAAGAGTTGTCTAAAGGAGGTTTCGGAAATGTAATCATATCATCACAACACATGAGCATGAACCACACTAAACAAGGTATATTATAGCATTTTCAAACTATTTGAATAGTATTAAGCATATAAATTATACAAATCTTTAATTCACATACGGAAATTCCAAAACAGAAGATGGCGAGGACGATGATGCTGCTGGATCTGAAAGAGATTGTAAATCTCCTGCTGGTTTTATTGAACATGTAGTTCAAGAAACATCACAAAGTGAAAATGATGCAGATAACAACTTGAAGGTAATGAAACTATACATTTTAACAAATTTATGATGCCATTTTGTTTATTACTAATGTTAATCATGGTAAAATTCGTGATTTTAGTGCTTTATTTAGTAAACTGATTCACTAAATGTGTTCCATGTGCTAGTTCTTTTACACACGTTATACCATGTAAAACCATTATTTGTTTACTATTATTAAAGAACTTTAGTATATGTGACCTTATCGGGATATGTGTGACTTTTGTGCTTTTACTAATTCAACATAAAACCAAATCGAAAATTAGTATTTCAGCATATTTGTTTTACCATTTCCTGCTATCACTTTTATAGCATTCTACTTATGCCATGCTTCTTTCCAGGATATTATGAGCGAAATTAACATCGAATTCAATGCATGCGACAATGCAATGCGAGCTATACAGAAGTTGTTGATGCAAGGTGTAAAGAAGTTTCCAGATTCTGTCGAACTGCGCATGTTAGTAACTAAAAGGCATCACGAATTCAATCTGGCTTGGCCAGATTTTTCAACATCTGTTGACTCTCATGCTGGGACATTTTTCAATGGAGCCGCGACACCTGTTATGCCAGTCCGAGATAATACAGCTGAAACTAAAGTTGATCAGTTTACGGAAGCTCAAATGGCAGATGAGCCACTTATTGATGTTGTGTGTACACCTTTTACACAATTCTTAATGCAGATGCTTTTGACATGATGTTAGAATCGGCATTTGCGACCTCTACAAGGCTTTCAACTCCATCGGATCATGTCGAACCAAATATCAAAATTGATGATGTAAACGCGGTTCCTGTTACTATTGTGGCACCAAGACGGACATCAAGATTGGTGGTTAGTCCTGTCACTGTTGTGGCACCAAGACGGACAAGAAGATTGGTGCAACTAACGAGAAAATTAGATCACCTTATTTTAATAGGGTCGTTGATCCAAACAAAGTTCTTAGACCAATCGAGGACAGAGTGTCCGGTTGGATTTTCGCAGGGCTGGACGAGGAATGGTACATTTCTAAATCAATATATCTATTCTACAGTAAATAAAGAATCACAGTAACTATATACTTATTGATGAAAACTAATTGTAATTTAGGGATCTTGTATTTGAATCAACTTTTGGAGATAGCGGACATAGGGAATTTTTGAGAGTATGATTCCTGGATCCAAAATCCATGTAACAATATTAGACATTTGGGCTACTCTTCTAAACCATCAGGAACTACGCAGAAATAAGAAGTCACCATCAAGGATGTTTTTATCCTGCACACTTCTGGTAAAATTAATTTTTATGTCGTATGCTTATTTTAAATGATCCAATAATCTACATATTTTAATTCCAGAGCAACTTCATACTGGATGAGGCGATTTGTATTGAGCAGCGATACAAAAGGTTTGTTGATCGCATGAATGAGCATATCGAAAAATTCAAACAATGCACAAGCTTCAAAGATGTGGACCTTGTAAGTCCTTTTCATTTATTCAATCAATTTACATTAACTAACTTGTTTCACACAAAACTATGTTCAACCAATTTTATTATGTACATCAGGTATTCTTCCCCGTGCTTGACAATGAACATTACTACCTTATTGTCTTTGATTTCATAAAATCCGAATGTGTAATCATAGACAACATTTACCGTGAAGAGTCGATTGAAGTGCTTTATGGAAACGTGCCTAACGATCTGGTAACAAAATTTCATATATATTTAATTTAACCAGGATCATATACTATATTCTGATCACATATCATATTTATTCCAGAAAATATTGTTTACTCTGTACATTGATGCTTGGAATCATCCAAGAAGAAATTCAATGAAGAGTGCAATCATAGATCGTCTATGGAATGGATGACAAAGGAAAACTACATAGATTGTGGGTTATTCCTTATGAAACACATGGAAACATATAAAGGTGGGGATCCGAATAAATGGATTGTGGGTTTGGAGCCTGAATTCGCAGACAGTGGACCAACAAATACAACTAAATGAATGAGAAAGAAGTATGTTACAAAAATTTTGACATCAGATTTGAACATTATCAAACCATCTGTCAACAGAAAGTTAGCATCATACGAT